ATATATATTTGCAGAGAAACCTCAATCATCAAATCCCTGAGTCCATGGGAACCCAGGATGCTAACAAAGGGAAAGAATCCGTACCTAAAGACTAGGAAGTAGGGCAACATCTTTCCCTTTCCTCCTGGTTCCCTGCAACAGAGGGAAGGGACAGGCACTACAAATTACTAAGATGAAGTGGGGTGAGGATGGAAGGATGTGGAAATGAGGGTCAGGTCCCAGTCTGTGGGGCAGCCACCAGTCTGGGAAGGTAAAAACACTCTGATGGGGGCTGACAATTGCAGAGGGAAGGACAAGACTGAGTGACATGCAGCTGGCGTTCAGTATGCCAGGCCTTAGCCTGGCAGCCCCACACCTGGGCCAGCAAGACAAGTAGCACCTGTGGGGCCTGTGACAGGAGGAGCTGGGGACATGGCCCTTGAGTGATGAAAGGACAGAAGACAAAGGTGAAGAATGGATCCTGGGTCTCAGCACAGCGTAGGCAGGAGCACTGCCATTCACTGTACCACTTTCAATGGAGCAGTGTCTTTTGTCCACAGCCAGGGAGAAACGGGTAACTTACATGGCCTTGAGAAGAGGTATAGAAAAAGGAGCGCTTTCATGGGCCACCCCGGCTGTGATAATTCCTGAAGTGCAGAGATCACGGTGAAACACACGCAGTCCTGATAGTGGGCCACGGTGGCTATAATGAGCTCCTTCTGGTAGGCAGGCCACAGGATTGCCAGGGCTGAGCCAACCTGATTGCCAGGTGGGCAGGCAGCAGCTGGGCACTACTCTCAGTTCTGTCTTCTGCAGGACTGCCCCTCCCTGCCACACCAAGCTTGACACCTCTCCAGAAAGGTGGCAGGAAGCAGGTGGCAGAGAGCACCCCTCTCCCTAGCCTATTAACACACACGGCTGCCGTCAGTGGGCAGCATGGCTGGAAGTCACCTTATATATTGTAGGAAGCACAACAGCTTCCCTGCCTGGAGGACTCAGAAGCCCATGTTGGCCTGGGCTTCTCCTGCTGAAATGGCTTGCACATCAGTGACATGGCCGATGCCTTTGGTAACACCCTCCCGGAACAGCAGCTTGGCGCCCACTTTCAGGTACTCGGGGTGTTTCAGGAATCGGAAACGAACCACTGCCTTCTCACCAGTCCGCAACTTGTCCTGCAGGAGAGAAATGGTCACTGCCTCGCAGTGCTTCCCATACCATCCCTCCCACCCTGGCTCTCCCTCTACCCTTGGGGTCTCTGTGTAGACTGCTGCTCCCACCCCCAGCAAGACTTCTGTTTCCTCCATGGGAGCAGGGAGCTCTGTGCCAAGTGTCACCTAGGGCCTCTACTCTTTTTGAGGCAGAATCCTGACTTTTCCCTGGAGAAATGAGGGATAGGTGGGCCCCTCTCACCTTGGCATGGATCTTTTCCACCACAGCTGTCTGACGTACATTGCCCACGTGCACTGTCACCTGGAATCCTCGTCGGAAGGTGGTGGCGTGGAACAGTAGGACTATTTCTGCCTCAAACACTGAGCAGATGGTGGGGTTCATCTCGGGACTCACCATCACCATGCCCTAGGAAGGCATGGCCCCCAGGCCCAGGAAGGGCAGACCCAATGTCAGACCCTCTCTCCCCGTCTCCTTACACCCTTACAGCCCCTAAACTCTTCTCCTTTGTGACTCCCAACCGAAAGACCTTGGAAGATAATGTTCCAGACTTCTCTAGGAGGGCATCCTCACCTACCTCCCATGTCCTCTGCCCACCAAAGCTTTGTGGTTTTAAGGCCTAGGCATTTGGCTTGTACTACAATGGTTCACAGTCATGTGGGCTTTGTGAGGGTACTATTCTTACACATAGGTCTGTGTGACTAGACCCGAAGCTTCTGGATCAGGGCCCGAGGTCCCTGAGTAGCTTTGAGCACTTCAGACAGCTGGTCCTTGTCAATAGTCAGCTCCCAGCACATCCCGGCCCTCTTGTCCCCTCACCTTGCGAAGGAGGGCACGGTCAAAGTCCCCAAGGGCCAGCGTTGCGGCCTGCCCAGCCCGTAGCACACGGCAGGCGGAGCGGTTGCGCTGGATGCTGCACACCCTCAGCTCTAGGAAGCAGCCATCGTCCGTGGGGCCCACCACCAGCTGATCACCCTCGCGGCAGATCCCACTGCAGCCCAGAGGGCAGAGCACAGTGTCAGCCTGGGCCCGCTGCTTCCTTTAATATGGTCAGCCCAAGCATACTTTTCCTTCCAGGGGTAAATTCTTCAAGGAAGGGCTAGGAGTCCTCATTCAGACTTGGATGTGGGGTGGCTGCCCAGCCTGGCCTAGCACTCCCTTTGAAGGATGACACCAGAAGCGGCTGCACTGACAGCACCAGTGTGGCACCCCTGGGTCTACTAACACCCAATACCTGGTCCCTAAGGGAGCAAGTAGTCCCCTTGGGTTCTGCCCTGTGCTGTGGCAGAGTACTTTTGTCAGTCACGCACGTGAGACTAGATCAACTGAATGCCCTCTAGGTTTCTTCCTGCAGCCCATGACCCATGCTTCTCCCTCAGGGGCCTAGAGGGTCCCAGGAGGCACTGGGAGGTTCCAGCTTTTTCCAGTAGTGAAAGCTTAATCTGCAAGCAAGGATTCCTGCAGTGGACTGTTTAGTTCCAGGGGCTCCTCTGGGCCAGGATGTCTGCATACAGGGCTACATGAGGCTGAGCAGAAAGCAAAACAAGCCACTTCACCTGGAAAGTGTCCCTCCAACGACAGTCCCAACCTCTGGTACTGTGTAGATTTCATCCACCTGAAACCAAGAAAACTTTCACTGTCCTGCCCAGTAGGGCTGGCAGGTCCAGCCGCTCTTCTTGCCCCCAGCCTTCTACCTGGAATTCTGTCAACTGCTGCATGAGCTCTTCCTGCTCTTTGCTGTTGGTGAGTGGGGGAAGGATATTCAAGAAGACTTTGAGGAGGTCCAGACTTTCTCCAGACACACTGGACAGTGTGAAGATGGGGGTGACACTGCACAGGGAGGCACAGAAGGGGCCAGTAAGGCTGGCAGGAGCCAGAGCCCAGGGCCCACACAGAGAGGGGATCTTTTCTCAAGGAGCCAAGGGAAACAGTAAACATCTCCGGGGTCCCCAACATCAGGAAAGCTCCAGGTAGGCTTTGGACAGGGTCAAGCCCTTCACAAGAACTCCCATAATCTCAAACTGGAAAGGCCACAGAATTGGGCCATTGCTAGGCTAGCCCCAGAAGGGTCCCCATGCTCCTAGGCCCCAGGCAGCCACCCCCTTGGATTAGGGTTTCCAGGTAAGACACACTTACTTGGGTGACTGAGCGAATTGCTGGGCAGCAGTGACAGCATCATCCTCAGAGGTGACCAGCATGGGGACTTTGTGGCAGCCAGGTTGCTTGAGGACCCGCTCCAGCTGGCGTACTGTCCTCTCCACCGTGGTCTTGGCACACAGGTCCACCTTACTCACCACGATGAAGAAGGGCACCTTCAGGGCCAGTGCCAGCCCTAGATGCTCCCTTGTGGTGCCAGCTGTTCAGAGGAGGGAGCACAATGAGGAAAGAGGGAGGAGGAACACGTCGGTGTGGCTCCCAGGGCAGGGACTGTTGGTAGCTGCCCTCAGCCCTGTCCCCACTGACACTGCATACCGATGCCGGTGTTGGCGCTGACCAGGAGCAGGGCGCAATCAGGGCAGTAGGAGGTGAGGCCGAAGATGGTGGTGTGCAGGTATTTGTGGTGGCCAGCCAGGTCAATGAAGGTGATCATCTTGGAGCTGCTCTCACAGATCTCCTCTGCCGTCCGTGAGTCGCTGTAATTCACCACCTGGCCGGGGGCCCAGGGTCTCAGTGTCTTGTGAGCCCCCAACCTTTTATGTGCAGGACCTAAACCAGTGTCTGGGGCCCTGTCTCAGCCCTGAGCCCCACTCTCCTACTGAGCTCAGCTGACTCTCCATTTGTGTTCTCAGAGAGAAAGAGCTTGCTCTTGTTCCCAGGGCTGGGTCTACACTCCACCCTGGCCTCCTCAGTCTGCCCTGCTGGATCCCACTGATCCCATGCACCTCTCCTTTGCTGTTAAAACCCAGGATCTCGAAGCTGATGCTGGAGGTTCGGCCAGATTGAATCTCATGCAGGTGGCGGAAAAGGTTGAGCCGGGCCCGGCCTCGCCCATTGTCCAGCTCGCCCTGGGTCAGGACTCCCAGCAGGGTCGACTTCCCGGAGTCCACGTTCCCCAGGACGGCCACTCGGAGGTCTAAGAACTGTGGGTGGATGGCAGTGGTAAGCTCACTGGGCTCCACTCTTAGAAAAGGGTAGGAGCGAGAGACAATGTAGACACCCCAGGATCCCAGCCAGGGACAAGCCTCTCACCAGGGGCAACCTTAGGTGGCAGGGAGGGCATGCACTCACTTGCTGGTTGTCGGGGACCTTCCGCACTAGAACCTCAGTGATCTTCCGGGGGGTGTCACTATCGTAGTCTACTTCTCGCTCCCGGAGGACAGTGATATCTGCACCAACCCTGTCACAGCAAAGTCACAGCTGCCATAGTTCCCAGGACTCCCCTACTGAAGCCTGGTCCCTGGACCTTCCTGTATGTCCCCCCATCCACCAAGCTCCTGGCAATCTGTCCCTGACCCACAGCTCCTTAGACCACCATAACAAGCAAGCTAATGAGTCTTTAAGCAAAGGGAAAAAAGCCCAGGTCCAAGGAGGAGCACGGAGCTGTACTTGGGCCCTGTGTCAAGGGGTAGAGCAACAGGAAATCCCCTTTCAGCTCAGAGGCCCTGCATGGTGGGGCACGTGGGTCCCGAGTTAGGTAGGAAAGGGTGGGCATACTTCTCTGCCATCCGATGCAGGGTCTTGAGGGAAGCCCGCATCTCTTCCTCAGCCAGCCCCACTAGCAGCCCATTGTCTTCTACCCCGATCTGGTAGACGGCCTCCCCACGTCCCTCCTGGAGCCGCCACTTCATCTGTGTCACCAGGTGCTCAAAGCGGTACTGGGATGGGTTCACTAGCTTCAGCTTAGAGCAGGCAGGGAATCACAGAAGGGAAAATCAGAGGTGTTCCAAACGCACATAGTCCCCACCTGTCCTGCCCCAAGGACCAGGACTTTCTCCCCAAACACTGAGTCCCCTGTTACTCCCCAGCCTAAGACTCACTTTATATTCGATGTTTCCATCTTCTGCCTGAAAAGAAACAGGGAGCAGTTATTACAGTATCAAACCAATGTTCACTTCCCTGCAGGCCCCACTGGGCCCAGGTAGAGACAGTAGGGCCCAGGGCACCAACTTAGGCCAGTTCCTGGAAGGTCAGAGCAGATAAGGCCTTACTGGGCCCGCAGGTGGCCTTTCTGAAGGACACACGAATCAGTATGCACTGAGCTCCCCACTTAAGCTGGGAGTCTCCCAAGCCCCCATTTCCTCATTCTCTGCACAAGACTATCCCTTCCTTCTCCCCAGGACCTAAAGCTGATCTTCCTGGATGTCTATGTCTCCTCAGTGCCAGGCTATTGAGGCCTTTTTTTTTTTTTGCTACTGAACTGGGAAACACCATTTCCTTCCTGGCCACTCCTTGCAGCTGATGTCATCAAGTGTAAGAGGCTGCAAAAGACTCTGGGCCAGGGCCAAGGGGTGAGCTCGGTACTGGTCACTTCAAACTCGAGGCAAGGGAGCCTCAGGTGAGAAAGGAGCAGAATTCCAAAGTTGGAGCTGATAAGCAGAGCACAGTGGTGCACCCCTGTGAGTCTACCATTCAGGAGGGGAGGATGGCTGTGAGGGCAAGGCCAGTTTGGGCTACACGGTGAGTCCTGCTCTTCAAAAAAAAAAAAAAAAAAAAAAAAAAACCTCAAAAAGACAAAACAAAGCTGGAGCTGAGGTGAACAAAAGAAACTTAGAAAACAGAATAAAACATAAACCAGACTTTCACTGCCTGTCTCCTAATCCTGAACTCACCCCACAATCTTCTTTCCCTCCTCTGGGATGTAGCACAGCAGAGCATCCTTTGGCCTGAGCTTTCTCCTCAAAGGTGTAAAAGGTTATGGGGTTTGCCTGTGATGCCATTTACATTTCTGCACCCCTCCTCTCTGCCTATCTTTTCACCCTCTCCCCCCACTGCATTCATTCTGTTCCTTCTGGCCTTAATAAGTGGTCTGCACCCCTCATCCACTGTATGGGGTGTACTAGAGCTCTTTCCCCAACAAAGACATTTCTGAATGAATTCTCTTTAACACTCTGCAGGGGGTAGAGGATCAGGAAGGTTGGCCTCAGAAATGGGTCCAAGAATGACAAGCTAAACCAAAGGTTTTCCAAGCGTGGCCCCACGGCAGCAGCATATCACCATATGCAGATTTGTAAGAAAGACTGACTGTCAAGCCACCCCTCACCTAATAGAAATTTTAGGAGAGGGGCCTGCAATCCGCGCCACTAGTACACGCTAAAGTTTGATAACCACTGGTTTATAGGCTCTTCCTGGGTCCTATCTCCAGGGAGAGGAACAAAGTAGCGGTTGCTCCTTGCTTTAAGGACAGAGAAACAGCAGGCAGTTCTCTGTCCCCTCCCCTCCGGGACAGGCAAAGGGCAGAGGAACAGCCTGTTCTCTGGTTTTATGTGGTCACTGTATGAGGGGCAGGGAGAGAATATGCTGCTCCCTCCATGGTTCGCCTCCCTCCCTGGGAACAAGTTTGGAGCAAGTAGTGGCTCTCCAGGAGGCCTCCCCCGGAGCAGCACAAGTAGGGGGTCTCCCATTCCACCCGCTCTTCTAGAGGGGGTGGAACCCGTGTTCCCACATTTGGGGGATCGCGGTAAGAGGAGCGCGCTTCCTCTCCTTGATCCTGGTATCCTGGCGAGGTCTAGTCCCCGCGCCTGCTCCCCAGTGTCCGGGACCGGAAGGAGGGTCCTCCCCAAACCCATATCCCCGAGGTCTCGACTCCGAAAGGGGGAGCCGCGCTCTCGGTCACGGCTCCCCAGTGTCCCGAGTCGGGAAGGTGCAGAGCCCTCTCGTTCCGCCGCTTTTGAAGGGCTCACCTCTGGGGGCAGGTACGGGGGGTTGTTGGCTTTGCCGCCTCTATTCCTTCCGTTCTTCTTCTTCCCCTTCGGGCCCCCGCAGCCGCTACTGCCGCCGGCCCCCCGCACCTTGAGGGTTCCGCCCACAGCCGGGCCCCCTCCGGGCCGGCAGCAGCCGCCGAACAGCTCCGACACCCGCGAGTCCATCCGCCGCAGCCGCCGACCCCCCGCCCGACCCCTCCCCCCTGCCGCCGCCGCTGCCCTCCCCCTCAGCCTCCGCCGCGTCGGCCGGGCCGGGAGGAGCGGGGTGGTGCCCCAAAGGCCACGCCCCCTTCCGCCCCGACGGCGGCAGGGCACCACGGGATATGGAGTCCGTGGGCCTTGGGCCTTGTTCGGACGAAAGCACCTCCGACCTACATTTCCCAGGAGGCATCGCTGCGCGGACAGCAGGTGCTACGAGGCGGGGCAGGAGAGGGCTATGCACTGGGGGCCGAGGGAGCTGTAGTCTGTCATCTGGACCCCCGCGCACTAAGATTTTTTTTCTCTACAGGTTAGGGTGAGGGTCGGGAAGCCCCGCAGCCTTCAGCTGGGGACGGTCACCAGTGCCGAGGGTTTACATCAGAGCCGACTTTTGCGGGGGTACCCCCTGGGTCTGGCCGCTTAGCGGCAGATCCCCGACAACAGGTTGGGGATCCCGAAGAGCAGCTGGGAGCTGCAGAATTCAGGGCAACTGGTCCCACCTACGGTCCAGCTCCACCTCTGCCTCAGTTTCTCCCCCGATGGCCCGCATGCTGTTGGGGTGAGTCAGAACGTGCGCCAGGGCGGAGGTAGATGGTGGTTAGCCTAATTACGGTTGTTACTGTGGCGATGATTATGCCACCTTTATACAGTAGTCACAGCATTATTACCAGGCTGGCACCGTGCGGGGCTGGTTTTAGCCGCCCCAGGCACCGCAGTGGCCCGGACTTGAGGCTCGAACCGATAAACAGCCGGCAGCCTGAATGCCGCGGGGATGCCTGCGGCGAGTATTTATCCCCTCCCCTTTGTTTTGAAGCCGGACCAATCGGGGAGAACCGAGTTTGGTTTCAAACCGGCCAGGGCTGTAGAAGGGACCAGTCCCCCACTTGGGGCGGGGCTGGGGCTCGAGTTACATCAGCCTCGAAAGTGAAGAAGTGGCCCGGGAATAGAAACTTGGCCAGGGGCCCTAGGGGATTGTTGACTTTTGGCTTTCTTGCCAAGCTATCGCTCCTGCTCTTTAATGGCTCTTGCTGTCAGTAGACAGTAAACACGTCCAGCGACACAAACTAGTATATATGACACCAGAAAGGTATGGTGGAGAAGCAGAATTGCTGTGAGTCGGGACGCCAGGGTTCAATTTCCAGCCCCATGGCTATCTCGTGACTCACCATTCACAGTGAGTCCACTTCCCTCTCTTCACAAACAAGGAGGTGTTCGTACACAGCCAAAAAATAAAACAGCATTTGATTCCTGATCTCAATTTTCTTTGGAAAACTGGAAGCAGCAGTAGGGGCTTGCTTACCTCTGGTGATCTCTGCAAAGGTTTCAATCTGGTGGTGTCCATGGGCTCTTCCAGGGTCCACGTGCAGTTAGGCAGGTCTCCTGTTGGCTCAGTGGCTGTCCACATGGCATAACTCTTGCAGTGGAGAGAGCAAAGGACCAGAGTCTGCAAAGAGCCCTCCAGGTCCAGCCAATGTTGTGAGTCTTCAGTGGTTGAAAGCACACATGATTTATCTCTTCAAAGAGGGAAAGATTATTTTGCAGAGCTCAACCCCAAACAGCTTTAACAGAGCCACCTGAAAAACTGCTAAGAAACTATGACTATGGAACTCAGTGGAAGATCTCAGAAAGGATGGGGATTGGAAGGGAGAGATAAGACCACACCCCAGTGTTATCACTACCACCACTTCTGGGCCCTCTTGATAACCAGAGTCTGCTCCACTTGACTGGTACCACCTGTCCTTTCATCTACTTGGCTATTTCAATAGCCACACTCAATATACACAATTTCAATTCATCCATCCCGGTCCCCTTGTCTGCTGCGTGAACATTTCTGTTTTATTTTAATTTTAGTTTTTGAGACAGGGTCTTGCTATGTATTCCAGGCTGGCCTTGAATTCACTATGTAGTGTTGGCTGGATTACCTTGAGCAATCCTCCCGCCTTAGTCTCCCGAGTCTTGAGATCACATTCTGCTTGAATTTCTTTTAAGAGATAGCAGGGGTGACATTCTGATAGCCCAGGCATGAACAACTTGACCTACCACAGACAGAAGTGAAGGCTGTCAGAGGAGTAGGCTGAATGGGCACATCTGTCCAGGAGGAGACCAGGATCTTGAGGAATGGAAGGTGGTGTTATGTGATAGCTTCCTGAAAGGGTTGCTTATGAGGTACCCATGAGGTTGTTGGCTGTAGCCTATGTATATATGCATCACGGATACACACACAAATCACGTGCAGACATTTTTCCTGGCTTGTAATTAGTCATTTATTTTTGTGTATACTATGTTTGCATACATTTTAAACTCAGAAGGGCTGGCCAAATAGCTCAGCAGATTAAAGCACCTGCAAGAGGTTCCGTCCCTAGGTTTGCCCTGCTAGCCACGCCCCTGGGGCACACTGAGACAGCAGTTGAGACTGGGCTTGGTGGCATGCACCTGCAATCCCAGCTCTTGGGAGGCTGCAAACAGGCAGATCACTACAATTCTGATCTAGGAGTGAGACCCTGAACACCCTGTAGACCCTTGCCTAAAATACAAAATAAATAAATAAATAAACTCAGAGTTAGCAGTCTTTCTCTTTGTTTTCTTGCCTTTGTTGCACTTTAAGTCAACTCCACTCCTAGATTATAAATTCTTCCCCAATATTTCTTCTAGGAGATTCCCCACCCCCAAGGGATCAAATCCAGAACCTTATACACACTAACCACCTATAGGGCTGTATATCCAGCCCCTCTTCAAGGGTGGGGGAAGGTTTATTATTATGTTTAGACCGTTAGTCCACTTGGAATTTCCTTTTTGTCGTGTGTGTGTGTGTGTGTGTGTGTGTGTGTGTGTGTGTGCCCCCTCCAGTGGGCATACATAGAACTAATTTGAATTTTCTCCCATAAATACAGTTGTCAAGCGCTGGCAAGATAGCTCAGGAGACTAATCACCTGCTTAGGCAAGCACAAGGACCAGGGTTCAAACCCCAGCTCCACATGCCTCACCCGCCCAGCTCCTGGGCGCACTGAGCTGACCACCAAGATCAGGCATGGTGGCAAATGCCACCTCCCAGCGTCAGGGAGGCTGGAAACAGGAAGATCATTATGAGTCCGAGCTGTGTAATGAGACCCTGTACCAAATGCATTAAAAAAAAAGACACTAAGACCTACATAGATGTGTTTTTGAACTCATGTTTTGCTTACTTTTTAAATATCTTTTTTTGTGTGTGCAGTACTGGGGATCAAACTCAGGACCTTGTGCTTGCAAGGCAGGCACTTATGCCCCTGAGCTATCTCCCCAGCCTGTGTTTTGTTTAATTTACTTATTTATTTAATTTGCAGTACCAGGGATTGAACTCAGGACGTTGCACTTGCCAGGCAGGTGTTTATGCCACTGAACTATATCCCTGGCCCCTTGTTTACTTTTAAGCAAATCACGGTCTTTTTTGTTTTGTTCTGTGGTTTTTTTTTTTTTTTTTTTTTTTTTTTTTTTTTGTTTGTTTGTTTGTTTGTTTTTTTCCCAGTACTGGGGATTGGGCTACTGCCTCACAGAGTTACAGTCCCAGTAATTTTTACTTTTATTATTATTATTGTATTTAGTACAGGGTCTACAGGCTGTCACTACACAGATTAAACTCATAGTGATTATCCTGTTTTCAGCCTCCAAAGTACTTGGATTACAGGTGCGTGCCACCACACCCAGTCTCAACCACTGTCTCAGAGCACCCTGGGGATGGGGCCAGCATGGCATGACAGGGATCGAACCCCAGTCCCTGCATCTGCCTAAGCAGGAGCTTTAATCCACTGAGCTATCTGGCTGGCCCTTTTTTTTTTCTTTTTCTTTTTTTCTTTTTTTTT